TAAATAATGACCAAAGTTAGAACTAATTATTTTCACTAGTCGTGTATCCCGACTGAAAGGAAATATCAGCTTGAGTCCAAATTGCAAACTTACTTTGGCTATCTCTGGAGTTTTGAAGTTTATTATCTTCCCAAACTCTTTGGCATGAAAGACTGACTTCACTCTCTCCTGCAGTGGAAGGCGAGGTTCAGTGCAGAAATAATAATAATAATAATAATAATAATAATAATAATAAAGAAAAATTTAACTTTTAAACAAAGACAGCAGCAGTGGAAATGCTGATCTCCAGGATTCAAAACAGGGCTCCACAAAGCAACAGCTGACACCAGGGCTGCTACATCCAAGTTTTATACAGTCTGTGTTAAGCTGTGGGCTGCAGCCCCCTGGTGGGCAATGAAGGTACTGCATGTGAGAGGTATGAAGTCAAATCTTTACATTAGTTACAATTTCATTTGAATGTAACGCTGTTAATAGAGAGTCAAGTACAAGAAGTACATCAGAAGATTAAAACAAATGAATGAAAACAAAGGACAACTCAGGGCATAAACAAATTCAAACAGGACCTATCTGATTACACACTGATGTGGCAAGTGCACAATCACATTGCACAGACAGAAATAACTGTACCTCTTGATCCCTTGGAAAGTGCTGCTGGCCATGTCAATAATGCCTCCTGTTGGTCGAGCTACTGCACCAACCAAACCTTTTCCAACACCTTTAAAAAAGCCCGCTGCCCCCTCTTTCTGGGCCCCTGCATAATAACACAAACACTGCAGCTTAAGTTCAAAGATCTTCACGGCCAAATGCCAGAGTCAACTGTTCAATGGAAACACACTAACAGAACACGTAGTTTTTTTATGCCCTTATTTTATTGGACTAACATGTTTATACTTGTGGTCAGACTCATCTTACCTTTAATAGGTTTGGTAACGATCCCTGTGATCCCACTGACAAATCCCTGTGGGAAAAGGAAGATAACACTGCAGAATAAATGACTCATTACAGCCGTGCATTTTCTTTCAGACTAGTTTGCAGTGTTGTTGTTGCTAGTCTTACTACTTCCTACATCCTGCATTAACTGCGTGTTTCCTGCTGATAAACAGAGAGGAGCAACTTAAAAACCAAACAGTTTTACATACAGACACCAGTCCTTTTCCACCCCTGGTCAGCCCCTCTCTCAGACCGCTGGGCTGTTTGTTCATAGCTTCTCGTCTCTTCTGCTGGTACTCTTCATCCATTGTCATCGCTGCGACACCCTTTGCCATGGCACCTGTTATCCTGGAGGCTGCACCTGCAATACCGCCTGAACAACAAACATGATTCGTTACCTGAGAATATTTTTTAATATATCTTAAATGTTCATGTCAAAATTGTGTCAGTGAAAATCTGAAATCTTAAGGGCTCCAACATGGTGCTAAAAAGTCTCAGATGTGTAATGAAACAGCCACAGTTCACTGTTAAAGGCAATATAATGCTGAAATTTAACAGATATAACACTATATTAAAAACACATGCAGTAAAACGACAAATGCTCAGTTATTACACTTTTCAAATTACAGCCCTATATAGCAGCCATGAACCCATCCCAGTCAATCAACGTGTATAATGACAGCAGATAAAGTGAGGACAGCGAGCAGGGCTGTACAAACTCTTTAACGACCTTCATTTCTTTTTATTTATTTTTTTCATGTGGTGATGAGCAATAATTCTCCGAACTTTATTACGTTTTTTGTTGGACATTTACTGCTTTTTAACTCATTTTCAATCTAGTTTCAGATTATTTTCACAGGATTATTTTTAACATCTGATAAGCTTCTTAACACTGATGTCAAGCATATAATGACACCAGGCTAAAGGGATGAATCATTATTGTTTCTACACATAATGGACACTTTCAATTAAATTTTATTTTTAACCAGTTTGTTACCAGCAGCCTCTCACAAAAAGCAAAAAGCAAATGATTTGCTCAATCTATGAAACATGGCGATGATAACACAGTTTGACAGACATAAAATAGCTGAAAACAAGTGAAGGAAACTGGACAGTTGGGAGGGACAAAGAAAGAAGTTGCAGGTCTAAAAGGCATGCCTCCACTTAGGCTGGACCTCAACGTAAGTGAAGCAGTGTGGGATCATCTTTACAGAAAACAGAACAAAAGACAACCAGCATCTAAGGAAGAGCTTTGAATGTCCTTCAAGAAGCCTGGAGAACTATTCCTGAAGACAAGGAAGCTGAGTAAGAGAGTTCAGGATGTGATAAAGAATTGTAAAAACTGTTTTTGCTGTACATACTGTATTTCAAAATACAAAGAAATGAGTGCAAGACTTTTGCACAACATTGTACTTAAATTTAAAATAAAAGATAAATTAAACATAATTAATTTTTGAATTAGAAATTCCAGTGATTATTTAGCAGTTTTGACCTGATCCTGTTGAGCTAAGGCTGACTCTGTATTACCCCTTTAACACCATTTCATGCTTACCTACAGCTCCTCCCACCAGCGCCTTAACCCCAAGAGCCATTCCTTCAACAAACTCCTCAGGGCCCTGGATGGCTCCCTAGAAGAAAAAAAAAAGAACAGTTATTGTGAATGTTAACCTGAATCCAATGTGGCCATATTTTCTAAATTACACAACGTAACTATTCAACAGGTTTTATAACGCACTTCAAAGCTAAAAGACCCAGTTGAACTTGTCAATAATTTTATTGGATATCATTACCTGATAGGGCTCATAAAAGAAAGCCTCCACCCCTTCTGACAATCCTCTGATCAGTCCAAATGGGTTTCCAAGAACATCGAGGCCCAGCACCAGCACATACATCTGCTTAATAGCCTTGAGATACACATAGGTGGAAAATCAAAATATCAAAACAAAAGAAGACAAGACAAATTGTCACTTGTCTGGTTTCATTGTGCTTGTATGTATTACCTGCTTAGAATAATGTCTGAGGACCTCCCACTGGAGCTGCTGAGTGGTGTAGAACTGGTAGGTCAATTCAAAAAAGGCCAGCCTGAAATAAATGTCACATTCAGCCAAGAAGCAGGGTTGGAATCACCAAGAACAAGTCACATGGAAGTAATTTAATGCTAATGGATGGCACATGCATGCTGTGTATTTGAGCCTTTTTCTGTATTCATACTTGAAGACAACATCCTGCACATCAGTGAGCGTCGCGCCGATACTCTTTAGCAACAGATTTAGCGACTGCACAGGGATCAGTTCCGAATCTCTCTTCTGCTTCAAGCCATCCTCTCCGCCTGTGCTCAGAGAGAAACTCAGGTGCAGCTGACAAAAAGCACAAAAACATCAGCAGGCGTTACTATGGCAACGGAGAAATCGCAGAGATCAGTTCAGACACTATTTGTTTGACAGAAACTGCATTCGCACACACCTTAATGGGGGAAATGTGGAAGTACTCGTAGAGGCTGATGGGAGGTTTGTCAGCAGCAGAGACATGGTTCAGTTCTGTCTTTATGTTCGTTATGTCCTTTTCAAACAGTTCCACCTGGAGCATCAGGAGAAAGGCACAACAGCTGTTGAGTTAACTGAATTATAATCATAACGCAATCTGAACAGAAAGGTAACTTTGTGTGTGTGTCAAGGCGTGTACCCAAAATCAAAAAAAAAAAAAAAATCGAATCAAAATTTATTTATAAGCACATTGAAAAACAACATGGGTTGAGCCAAATTGATGTACATAGAGATAAAAGACTATAAAAGACTAGTCATAATTGAAAGCTAGAGAGTACAATTGTGTTTTCAACTGGGTTTTAAAAATGCTGAGTGTTGGGAAGACCTAAGTGAAGGGGCAGACTGTTCCAGAGTTTGGGTGCAGTGATCACAAAAGCTTGTTCACCTCTGTCAAAAGGAACTTATCTGCAGACCTAAGTATGGAACGCCAGGACTGACATAATGAATTAATTAAATGTCCGTAATTACAGAAAATAAAACATTTAAAATACACAAACCTCCTGAGCTGACATCCAGGAGGGCCTAAATAGTCCTTTATGGCCTTCTTTCTCACTTATTTCTTCTCTTTGAACAATATTTTCTCCATGTGTGGAGCTGACTGCGAGCTGCAGCATGCAGACGCCATGTGCGCTAGCATAAAGTGGCTGGGTGGAGACCCAAACTGCAAACAACTGAACCCTCGATACTTCACCACCAGAGGGTGCAAAAGAGCAAAATCTGGACATAAAGCTCAACAAAACATAAAATGCAAAATCACTTGTGATTTAAAGAATAAAGCATTGCCTATGAACTAATGAATGACTTTTAAATGAACTATTATGAATTATATTTAAGCAGAGTGCGGTGGAGAATCTTCTTCCCCTTCCATCAAAATGACTGTCTTCTGAATGGGTCTTTCCAGGTGAACAGGTTTGGAGGTACGTTTTCATTCTTCATCCAGGGTTGGATCACTCAGCAGCAATTTCACCTTGGTCACTCTTCCATCCTTTCCAGGGTACACTTCAATTGATCTGATGCGACACACCATAGTACGCCAAGCGCTCTTTCCATATGTACTTCACCGAGTGCCATGTCTAGATCCTTGGCAGCTGCAGCACATTCTTCCTTCGGAAGTGAAGCTAGAACTTGGGTGCGGTTTGAGATTAACTTGTGCAACCGAAGTTTGACATGCTGCAGAGTTTCCGTGCTTCATTAACAAGCTGTATTGCCTGATCTTCAGTGTCAACACTTGCTAGTCCATCGTCAACATAGAAGTTGGTTTTGATGAACTTAATGGTTTCTTCATCAAAACTTTCTTCTCCTTCAGCTGCAAGATGCTTGAGGCTGTAGTTGGTGCAACCTGGAGAAGATGCTGCTCCAAATAGGTGTACCTTCATCCTATAGACAGTGAATGGAGTTTCAAGGTTACCGTTCTCCCACCACATCTTGGTCGCAAGCATGCACATGGAATTGGTGGAACATGCATTCAATATCACACATGAAAGCCACTGGACCTCTTCGGAAGTGACACAAGACTCTGAGCAAGGTGTTTGTTAGCTCTGGACCAGTCAGGAGATGGTCATTTGGAACTTGGCAGAGGCATCGAAGACGACACAAATCTTTCCGGGTTTTTGTGGATGATACACGCCATGGTGTGGGATGTACCAAACTGGTGTTTTGTCAATGTGTTGCTCTGGGACCTTTTCGGCATCTCCATGGGCTAGGATCTCATCCATGAATTTCTTATAGTCCATGTAGTTCTTCTTGTTCCTCTTGAGGTTTTTTTCTAAACATTTGAGATGATGAATAGCACATGCCTTGACTAATGCCAGTCTTCATCTTTGTTAGAAATTTGAGATCTTCTTGAGAGACCTTTGTATCTTCTGGTGCTTTCTCAACAAAGTCAGACTCCAACATCTTTTGGACCTCTGTGGGAGAGGTCATTTCCTTTATTTGAGTTCTGTAGACATAGTGAACCTTGTTGGTGAGGTTTGAAGAGGGCTGAATGTCAGGCACTACTTACTTCACAATGACTTGGTGACTTACTCCAAAGGCATCTCCATAATCGAGACATGGATTGCCATAACCTACAATACTCCATCCCAGATCAATTCTTTGTGCGAACGGCTGATTTTCCTTTCCAGACACAACCTCACGAGGAAAAAATGCTTGGGGGCAGTTGTACCCAATCAGCAGACCAACATCACAGCTTTGAAGTGGAACGATCTCACTTGCAATGCATTCGAGATGAGGCCATGCCTTGGCTGTTCCAGGCGTTGTAATGTAATCTCAGTTTGCAGGTATAAAATCTCTGGCATAATTGGCAAAAGTTGGCCTACCTATTACTGGCTGAGGTTTTAGTAGAGTTGTGGCTGAACTAGGGCTGCACAATTTTGCATAAAATGAGAATCACGATTTTTTGGCTTAGAATTGAGATCACGATTCTCTCACGATTTTCTTTTCCAGTATAAATATTTATTGCACTTATTAACTGCACATCAACTTCGTAACAGTTGAGACTGAACATAAAAACAATAAATAAACATAAAAA